AGAATAACATACTAACCCAAGTGTACTCGTAATGATCATATCGTCGATTAGATTAACATAAGAAGGATATTTGACCATAATAGCAGTGTACACGGATATTATCGTGTTTAATTTAAGTGTTCTCTTGAACCATGTAACATTAATATAAATTATCAGTAAAATATATATTGTTAATCCAAGAATGGTCAACAGTATTCTCATGTATAATTTTTGATAATCTGTCGTTATTCCGATTTTTCCGAACGTGTTATCCACGATATCCAGCTTGCTCAAGCATCTCCTAAATTTCTGATAAATCCATATAATATGCAGCGGGAAGATAATTAGTTGTTAATAAAAAAGTATTGAATAACCATAATTTAATACGTTATTTGTCGCCCTAATTTCCACTTGTAGAAAAATGTAATTAACAATTGATTTATTAAAGATACAATAAATAAATTTAAGTCGAGATACGTTTATTTTTTACTTCACTTAAATGTTTCCTTTTTTGTCTCTACAACTAATTTTGTGACTGCAATTAATTATATTTTATATGCAACGTATAAAGAAACAGCAGAAATTTCGCGTTCCTCACCGGTGATGTCATTCAATGTGTTAAGGATTGAATGACATATTAAGTCAAGTAACGTAGCTGCTAAACTATAGCACGATCACTCGTTATTAACAAGTTAATATCAAACTTTTTATAAATAAATTAATGCATTAAACTTTTCCTACCTTATTGTAATATATCCCAAGAATGACTGACAACGACGCTGTGGAAATGTTTAACCAAAAACTGAATTGGTACGTGATGTCCTTAGTATATATATAAGACGCTATTGTAAACCCAAGTAGAAAAGAATAAATCGACCAGAATATAAGCATATGTAAGTAATTTATCCATGGTTTTGATTCACTCGCGGAAAACTTGACAAGTCTTGTAGCAGTCACGTAACTGGCAATAAAGAGCGGCGACAATACAGTTTCAATGTTGCCCGTCATAGTGGACACTCTCGCTGTTCTTATAAACTGTCAGTAATACGAACAAAGGGCGTCGATTATCAGATCTTAGCAATTGCAATTACGGCACTTACGTATAATGAAGTAATCCATTACTTGGATTTTGTTCATTATGTGTAATGAAAGAAATATCGAAAAATACTTATGAAACTTTGTCGTTAATTTCCAAGTGAGATAAATACAATATTTAACTAATTATTATCGCTAACATCTCTACATATCTTTTTCTTCATCTTTATTAACTTTAATACAAATGTAATAAAAAAGCTGTAATACAATTAGTTATAAATCTCGTAATATAAATATTTGTCGTAATTGGTTTGGATGTTTATATTTTTCTATGCATTCTTTATGTACTTGTGTGGGACTTCACCAATATGACAATAACGGTTATAACGGATCTGGTGAACTGAAAGAAGAATTTCATTTTTTTTATATATTCGTCGTTTAGACGTGAGTAATTATGTAATAATTACTGCGTACTTCGCGAGAGAAATTAAAACCACCGGAGGCCATGGAATTTAAGCGGAGCTTGTCTCATTTGCAAAAGAAATTGCGAAATCTATACTACAATAGTCCACTTAATATATAAGATAACCTTACGATTACTTCTTTTTTTAATCACAGATCTTACGTTCTCGCAAGTGACATCATCAGTAGTGAAATACAGTATTTTACTTATAACATCTCCTGTTGCGTTTGCCTAAAATTAAAACGTCCGTAAGAGCAAGCAAAAATAAGTTTGGTCAAACAAGCAATAACCTAGTTTTCTAATAATGCAATCATTTTAAGACATTTCAAAGTAGATACACTCGCAGTACGAAAGTAGAATTGATACCGTGTTGCTGACTCTCTCGCACATATCATTAATGATAAGCAGTCGGAAGATGTTCATTATGATGAATAATATAATCAACGTGAGGTTTATCTTTTTCACCACCGTAATTATGTGTAAATATTATGTTGAAAACACGATCAGAAGCTAACACTATAAACGCAAAATAGATTCCCATTTTGACAATCATTTGTAGTCCAAATATCGAATTCAACTCGTGCGATATTTCGCGCAATTCCAAATGAAGATGTCTGCCAAAAGCGATTTAAAAGTCGCGCTATACAGTGTCGTTATCATTTATGAAATTTATTTGCACTTTTATATTATATTACGATCCATGTTACATATTCGCTGTCCTTAAATTTGGGATATTCCAAAGTTAAGATTTGTCGTGGAAGCAAAGTGGAACGTTGCCAAGCGTAATTCACCGCGTGCTCATTATAGCTTTCAAACTTTTGAACGTGTTGGTTGATTTGATCAAACTTTAGTCCTATGTATCTAAATATAGTATAGATTAATGAATAATGACAGCTACCGTCTAGCAAATGCGTATTGTCTGAGGAACCTTAAAATATATAAAGAGACTTCATTATTTTATGTTTGACAATCGAATTTAGTTAATTTTTTTTATTATATTTTATTATAATTAATTTTATCATATTTTTTTGTGTAGAGATATACTAACCCATGTATACTCGTAAACATTATATTTTCGATTATATTAATGTAAGTAGGATATTTAATTATAAAGATTACATAGTGAGATATTATAACGTCGCGGTATTTTCCGTGTCCTATAGGGTTGGGGCTGTTTATCCACATGATTATAAATACTACAAATCCAAACGTGGTCAACAGTACTCTACTGTGTACCTTTTGGTAGTTTGTAGTGCTTCCGAGTTTTTCGAGTGTGTCGTCCACAATAGCGAGCTTTCTCAGACAGCTCCTAAATTTCTGACACAAAAATGCGATATGTAACAGGAAGACAGTTAGTTTTTGTCCACGAACAGATATTCTGAAAAGTCGTAATATAGGGATTCAATAAAAACGCTTACGTTGACTTTTTATTATCTGGATTTTTTTTATCTTAAACTACTACTCATATATATGATCAAAATCATTTGTTATTATTACGTTGACTGCCGCGTTGATTTTCTCTAATTGTCCGAAAGCTTAACTGACGATTACATTGTCAATGATATGATGAATAAATATGATTTGGGACGCTTGTATCTTTTATCTCGTGTCATTGGCACTTTTTCGTCTATATACATAATTTTTTACATGCAATCGATTATTATTAATATTTAATATAATGAGATGTAGTAGCATTATAACGTCGGTCATCAGTAATTGTTACGATTTTCAATCCAGTTAATACGTTAATGTGCTAATATTTCCTTACCTTATCATGATATATTCCAAGAACAACTGACAAAATCGCTGCGAAAACATTCAGACTATAGCAAAATTTAAATCCAGTGGAAATTTTACATACATAAAACATTAATGTATACGATAGAACACAATAGTAAATCGACACCATAGCAGAATATATAGGAGACTCTGCCAAAGTCTAGGTTCACCCGCGGGAATCTCGATAATTTTTGTACCAAACATATAACTGACTATAAGGAGCGGCAATAATATCGCTCGAATGTCGCCAGTTATCGTGAATTTTGCCGATGTTCTGCGAAACGGCCGGTAGTATCGTCTAGTAGTAGCACGGATATTCAACCTTAGTAATTGCAATTGCTTATATTGAAATTAATAATTGCACTTACGTATATTGAAATAATCGATCCCTTGAATTTTGCATATCATAAGTTATTGAACAGGTTATCAAAAAAATTTAAGAACAATTTATTCATTCCTGCTTAGAATAAGTACAACCATTTTGTTCTCTCGAACTGCCGGTAGTATCGCCTAGTAGTAGTATATTCGGCCTTAGTAAATGCAATTACTTATATTGAAATTAGTAATTGCACTTACGTATATGGAAATGATCGATCTTTTGAATTTTACATATCATAAGTTATTGAACAGGTTATCGAAAAAATTTAAATGCTATTTGTTCATTCCCTTTTAGAATAAGTACAACCATTTTACTAATATCGCTCTTGTTCCTTTTTCTTATTTATTTTGTGACACTTATAATTACAAGATAATATTTCATATATTTAAAAAAGAATTGTAAATAATAAACGAATTAAGGTGGATGACGTTATTTTAATGGAGTGAACGAGTAGTTAAAAAATTCGCGTCCAATCAATAAATCAAATATACATATTTAATAACAGAGTAAAGTGTTTACGATGAAATATTTAAGAACGCGCGCGTGAAATTATTTTTCATTTAAGACATTAGTATTAATTGCGAACGACACGTGATTACTGAAGTACTAGTATATTTTATCAGTATAATACAATATATTGAAGGTATAAAAGAACTACTTTTTCACGAAGGTAATAATAATCAAAAGAATTATAGATTGAACGACTTCTTAAGTTAAATAACATAGCTACTAAATTGTAGCACGACCATTCGTTATTAATAAGCTAATGTGTTTTAATTTCTTCTACATTATTGTAATATATTCCGACAACGACCGACAACGACGTGAAAATGTTCAACAAAAAAATGAGTTGATACGTGATGCCATTAGTACATGTATAAAACGTTATTGTAAACCCAAATAGAAAATAATAAATCGACCAGAATATAAGCATCTGTAAATGATTTATCCATGGTTTTGATTCATTCACGGATAACTCGACAAGTTTTATAGCAGTCACGTAACTGGCAATAAAGAGCAGCGACAATACATTCGAATGTTGTCCGTCATAGTGGACATTCTCGTTGTTCTTATAAACTGTCAGTAATACGAACAAAGGACATCGATTATCAGATCTTAGAAATTGCAATTACGGCACTTATGTATAATGAAGTAATCCATTACTTGGATTTTGTTCATGATGTGTAATGAAAGAAATATCGAAAAATACTTATGAAACTTTGTCGTTAATTTCCAAGTGAGATAAATACAATCGATATCGCTAACATCTACATTTTCTCTTCTTTTTCTTCTTTATTAGCTAACTCTTATAATACAAATATTTGTCGCAATTTGTTTGGACGTTTATATTTTTCTATGCATTCTTTATGTACTTGTGTGGGACTGCACCAATATGACAATAACGGTCGTAGCGGAGCTGGAGAACTGAAACAATTTCTTTTTTTTAATATATTTGTTGTTTAGACGTGAGTAATTATGCAATAGTTACTACGTACTCCACGAAAGAAATTTGACCCAAACTGGAAAAGCCGGAGGCCATGGAATTTGAGCGGAGCTTGCCTCATTTGCAAGAGAATTTGCGAAATCTATATTAGCACAATAGTCCACTTAATAAATAAGATAACCTTACGATTACTTCTTTTTTTAATCACAGATCTTACGTTTTCTCGAGTCACATTATCAGTAGTGGAAGGCACTATTTTACATATAACATCTCTTGTTGCGTTTGCCTAAAATTGAAACGTCCGTAACAGCAAGCAAAAATAAGTTCGGTCAAACAAGCATTAACCTAGTTTTTTAACAATGCAATTATTTTAAGACATTTCAAAGTAGATGCACTCGCAATACGAAAGTAGAATTGATACCTTGTTGCTGACTCTCTCGCACATATAATTAATAATGAGCAATCGGAAGATGTTTATTATGATGAATAATATAATCAACGTGAGGTTTATCTTTTTCTCACCACCGTAATTATGTGTAAATATTATGTTGAAAACACGATCAGAAGCTATTACTATAAGCGCAAAATAGGTTCCCATTTTGATAGTCATTTGTAGTCCAAACATCGAATTCAACTCTTGCGATATTTTGCGCAATTCCAAATGAAGATGTCTGCGAAGAGTGATTTAAAAGTCGCGCTATACAATGTCGCTATCGTTTATTAAATCTATTCGCACTTTTATATTACATTACAACCCATGTTACATATTCGCTGTCCTTAAATTTGGGATATTCCAAAGTTAAGATTTGTCGTGGAAGCGAAGTGGAACATCGCCAACCGTAATTCACCGCCTGCTCATTATAGCTTTCGAACTTTTGAACACATTGGTTGATTTGATCAAACTTCAGTCCTATATATCTAAATATAGTGCAGATTAATGAATAATGACGTCTAGCAAATGCGTATTGTCTGAGGAACCTCAAAGTATATAAAGAGGCTTCATTATTTTAGGTTTGAGAATCGAATTTAGTTAAATTTTTTTATTATATTTTGTTATAATTAATTTTATCATATTTTCTGTGCGGAGGTGTACTAACCCAAGTATACTCGTAAAAATCATATCCTCGATTATATTAATGTAAGTAGGATATTTAATTATAAAGGTTATATAGCGAGGTATTATAACGTCGCGGTATTCTCCGTGTCCTATAGCATTGGTACAGGTTATCCACATGACTAATACTACAAACCCAAATGTGGTCAACAGTATTCTACTGTATAGTTTCTGATAGTTTGTAGTACTTCCGAGTTTTTCGAGTGTATCATCCACAATAGCGAGCTTCCTTAGACAGCTTCTAAATTTCTGAAAAAAAATGCGATATATAATAGAAAAACAATTAATTTTCGTCCGCGTCCGAGATATTTTGAAAAGTCGTAACTTAGGGGTTTAATAAAAACGCTTACATTGACTTCTTCATCTGAAACTACTACCAAAATATATAACCAAAATCACTTGTTATTATTATATTAACTGCCGCGTTGATTTTTTCTAATTGTCCGAAAGCTTAACTGACGATCACGTTGTCAATGATACGATAAATAAATGTGATTTGGGACGCCTTTGTATTTTATCTCATGTCATTTGCACTTTGTTGTCTATATAAATAATTGTTTACATAGAATCGATTATTATTAATATTTAACATAATGAGACATAATAATATTGTAACGCTGGTCACCAGTTAGCGGTCAATCGCGCTAAAATGCAAATGTGCTGACATTTCCCTACCTTATCGTGATAAATTCCAAGAACAACTGACAAAATCGCAGTGAAGACGTTCACACAGTAGCATATTTTGAATGCATTGGAAGTTTTATATACATAAAACATTAATGTATACGATAGAAGAAAATGGTAAATCGACCACCATAGCAGTATGTATAGGAGACTCAGCCAAAGTCTAGGTTTACCCGCGGGAAACTCGACAATTTTTGTACCAAACACATAACTGACTATAAGGAGCGGCGATAATATCGCTCGAACATCGCCGGTCATTGTGAACGTCGCCGACGCGTTGCCGACGCTGTTTCGGACTGCCGGTAGTATCGCCTAGTAGTAGCCCCGGATATTCGATTTTAGTAATTGCTGTTACTGCACTTACGTATATTGAAATGACTCCTCGATTTTTGCATATCATGAGTTATTGAACAGAGTGTCGAAAAAAACTTAAGAGTTGGTCGTTTATTCTTGGAATAAGTACTATCATTTCTCTGACATCGTATTGTCTTTTATCATTGTTTATTTTGTGACATTAATAATTGCAAGACGATATCATATATATTTAGAAAATGTTTGTATAACGAATTAAGTAAATGCATTACTTTCCAACTATATTAGGTTGAATAAACAGTTATTAACAGTGAATAAAAAGTGATTCATGATATATTACTAGAACAATGATATATTTTACACTCTAACAATATACTGATTAGTTTTTTACGAAACTAAAATTATTATGGGAAGCCTATTAAAAAAAAAATTAAAAATATCATCACGATATTGGGGTAGAACGTGTTCTATTCTTACATTATAACTTTTTTTTAGCAAAAAGTAAAAATCAATTTTCGATCAGTACGAAAATGACGTACACATACTTGTCATAAATTGCCATAACCTGTCTTAATGCTTTTACTTCTCTGTGAATATTTTATGTTTCTTTGTTTGCTTGTAGCGATATTAATATAACGGTTGTAACAGAGCTGGTAAACTGAAAAAAAGAATTTCATTATTTGAGCATACTAATCATGTCAAGTGAATCATTATGTCATAATTATGACTTACCCCATGAAAGAATTTTAAACCAAACTGGAAAAGTCCAAGCCCATGGAATTTGAGTGGAATCAAATTTATTTGCAGCACAAGTTGCGAAATCTGTATTAGTACAATGTTTTGTTTTATCACTTATTACACATTTATTTTATCAATAAGAATATAACTTACGTTTTCGCGTATTGCAACATCATGAGTTGTATACGGTATTCTATATATTTCATCTCCTACTGTGTTTGCCTAAGATTGAAATTTTCGTAAGAGTGTGTAGGAAGAAAATGTCGATAAACTAAATTTCAATACAGTTTTTTGGCCAAGTAGTCGTAGTAAAAAGACTCAGCATACGTATATACCGAATGTGATGTAGAGAACGTAGAGTTCGTACCTTGATGCTGATATTCTCGCATATATAATTAATAATGAAGAGCCTGAATGTGTTAATAAAGATAAAGATTACGATCAAGGCGATGTTTGCTGTACTTCTATCGACGTATTTATGTGTGAGAAAAATTTCGAACAGCCTACAACATGATATCGCTATAAATGCGAAATAACTTCCCATTTTGAGAATCATCTGTAGCTCAAATATCGAGTTCAATTCGCGAGATATTTTACGTAATTCCAAATGAAGATGTCTAGAAAAACACAATAGTACGTTGCATTACGTAATTATCAGAATGGTTTGTAAGTATTTATATAAATGTTTATAATACATTACGACCCATGTGACCCATTCTCTGCTCTTTGATTCTTGATATCCAGTTTGTTGCGGAAACAAAGTTGTATATTTCCAAGCCCATTTTACTATATGCTCGTTATTGTTTTCTACTCTTCGCAAATATTGGTTAATTTGATCAAATTTTACAGCTATATATCTGAATGCAATGAAAATCAATCAATAATGACAGCTACCATCCAGTAAATAAAAGTATATTGTATTGAAATTTTTAAAATGTTTAAAGAGGCTTCATTATTTTTTATAAGAGATAATAAATTTCATTTATTAAAATAATGTTGGTCGAATAACATACTCACCCAAGTGTACTCGTAATAATCATATCGTCGATTAGATTAACATAAGAAGGATATTTGATCATAACAGCAATGTACACCGATATTATTGTGTTTAATTTAAATTTACTTTTGAACCATGTAACATTGATATACGTTATCAATAAAAGATATATTGTTAATCCAAAAACGGTCAACAGTATTATCATATACAATTTTTGATAATCTGTCGTTATACCGAGTTTTCCGAACGTGTCATCCACGATATCCAGCTTACTCAAGCATCTCCTAAATTTCTGATAAATCGATACAACGTGCAGCGGAAAGATAATTAGTAGTTATTCATAAAGAAGTGTTAAATAACCATAATTTAATACGTTATTTGTCGCCCTAATTTCCACTTGTAGAAAAATGTAATTAACAATTGATTTATTAAAGATACAATAAATAAATTTAAGTCGAGATACGTTTATTTTTTACTTCACTTAAATGTTCCCTTTTTTGTCTCTACAACTAATTTTGTGACTGCAATTAATTATATTTTATATGCAACGTATAAAGAAACAGCAGAAATTTCGCGTTCCTCACTGGTGATGTCATTCAATGTATTAAGGATAGAACGACTTTTTAAATTAAATAACGTAACTGCTAAACTATAGCATAATCATTTGTTCTTAACAAGCTAATGTGTTAAACTTCTTCTACTTTATTAACAAGATAAACTTTTCCTACCTTATTGTAATACATTCCAAGAACGACTGACAATAACGCCGTGGACATGTTCAGCCAAAAATTGAGTTGGTATATGATGCTATGGGTATATATATAAGACGTTATTGTAAATACAAATAGAAAATAATAAATCGACCAGAATATAAGCATGTGTAAATAATTCATCCATAGTTTTGATTCACTCGCGGAAAACTTGACAAGTCTTGTAGCAGTCACGTAACTGACAATAAAGAGCGGCGACAATACAGTTCGAATGTTGTCCGTCATGGTGGACACTGTCGCTGTTCTCATCAACTGCTACTAATACGAATAAAGGGCGTCGATTATAAGATCTTAGCAATCACCATTACTGCACTTATGTATAATGAAATAATTCGTCACTTTTTGTTTATTATGCATAGTGAAAGAAATACTGAAAAGAACTCGTGAATTTGTCATTAATTTCCAAGTGAGATAAATGCAATCGATATCGCTAACACCTATATTTCTTCTTCTCCTTCTTCTTTATTAGCTGACTTTCATTAATTTATTTGTCGCAATTTGTTTGGAAGTTTATATTTTTCCGTCCATTTTTTATGTACTTGTGTGAGACTGAACTAATATGACAATAACGGTCGTAGCGGAGCTGGAGAACTGAAACAATTTCTTTTTTTTAATATATTCGTTGTTTAGTCGTGAATAATTATGCAATAATTACGTATTTACGTACTCCACGAAAGAAATTTAACCCAAACTGGAAAAGCTGGAGGCCATGGAATTTGAATGGAGCTTGCCTTATTTGCAAGAGAATTTGCGAAATCTATATTAGCACAATAGTCCACTTAATAAATTAGATAACCTTATGATTACTTTTTTCTTAATCAAAGATCTTACGTTCTCTCGAGTCACATCATCAGTAGTGGAATGCAATATTTTACTTATGACATCTCCTGTTGCGTTTGCCTAAAATTGAAACGTCCGTAAGAGAAAACAAAAATAAATTCGGTGAAACAACCATTAACCTAGTTTTCTAGCAAGGCAATTATTTTAAGACATCTCAAAGTAGATCCATTCGCAGTACGAAAGTATTGATACCTTATTGCTGACTCTCTCGCACATATAATTAATGATGAAAAGTCGGAAAAAGTGCGTTAAGATGAATAATAGAATCATTGTGAGCTTTATGTTTTTCTTATCGCCGTAATTATATGTCAATATTATGTTGAAAATATTATCAGAAGCTAACACTATAAGCGCAAAATAAGTCCCCATTTTGACAGTCATTTGTAGTCCAAATATCGAATTCAAGTCGCGCGATATTTTACGCAATTCCAAATGAAGATGTCTGCGAAGAATGATTTAAAAGTGCTATATAGTGTCAATATTATTTATTAAAATTATTTGCACTTTTATATTACATTACGATCCATGTTACATATTCGCTGTTCTTAAATTTGGGATATTCCAAAGTTAAGATTTGTCGTGGAAGCAAAGTGGAACGTTGCCAAGCGTAATTCACTGCGTGCTCATTATAGTTTTCAAACTTTTGAACGTGTTGGTTGATTTGATCAAACTTCAGTCCTATGTATCTAAATATAGTATAGATTAATGAATAATGACAGCTACCGTCTAGCAAATGTGTATTGTCTGAGGAATTTCAAAGTATATAAAGAAGCTTCATTATTTTGACAATCGAAATTAGTTAAGTTTTTTAATTATATTTTTGTTAATTAATTTTATTATATTTTTTATGCCGGCGTATACTAACCCAAGTATCCTCGTAACAATCATATCCTCAATTAAATTAATGTAAAAAGGATATTTAACTATAAAGATTATATAGCGAGGTATAATAGCGTCGGCATATTCTCCGCATGTTATAGCATCAGAGCAGGTTATCCACATGACAAATATTACAAATCCAAATATGGCCAACACCATTCTACTGTACAGCTTCTGATAGTTTGTTGTGATTCCGAGTTTCTCGAGTGTGTCGTCCATAATAGCGAGCTTCCTCAGACAGTTTCTAAATTTCTGACACAAAAATGTGATATGCAATAGGAGGACAATTAATTTTCGTCCGCAAACAGATATTCTGAAAAGTCGTAACTTAGAGGTTCAATAAGAACGCTTATATTGGCTTTGTTATCTGAAACTACTACCAAAATATATAACCAAAATCGCTTGTTATTATTACGTTGACTGCCGCGTTGATTTTCTCTAATTGTCTGAATGCTTAACTGACTTTTATGTAAGTGATACGATTTGTCAATGATACAATAAATAATTGTGATTTGGGACACCTTTGTCTTTTATTTCATGTCATTGGCACTTCGTTGTTTATATAAATAATTCTTTATATGCAATCGACTACTATTAATATTTAACATAATGAGACGTAATAGCATTGTAACGCGAGTCACCAGTAATTGTTACTATTTTCAATGGCGTTAAAATGCAAATGTGCTCACATTTCCCTATCTTATCGTGATATATTCCAAGAACAACTGACAAAATCGCTGAGACGACGTTTAGACAATAGCAAATTTTGAATTCTGCAGAAATGTTATATACATTAAACATGAATGTATACAACAGAAGAAAATGGTAAATCGACCACCATAGTAGTATGTATAGGAGACTCAGCCAAAGTCTAGGTTTACCCGCGGGAAACTCGACAATTTTTGTACCAAACACATAACTGACTATAAGGAGCGGCGATAATATCACTCGAACATCGCCGGTCATCGTGAACGTCGCCGACACTCTTTCGAACTGCCGGTAGTATCGCCTAGTAGTAACATCGGGTATTCGATCTTAGTAATTGCAATTACTGCACTTATATATATTGAAATGATCGATCCCTTGAATTTTGCATATTACAAATTAAACAAGTTATACAAAAATTTAAAAGCAATTTGTTTATTATCGTCAGAACCAATTTATTAAAATTCGTATCCAATCAATAAATCAATATATTTAACAACGGAGTAAATTTTATATGATGAAGAGTATTTAAGAGCAAAGTTATTTTTTATTTAAGAGATTGATATTAATTTTGAACAACACATGATTATTAAAGTACTAGTATATTTTACTATAGTACAATATATTGAAGATATAAACTGCTTTTTCACGAAGATAATAATTAACAAAAGAATAGATAAAGAAAAGTAAAATTGTCGAAATAATGGAGTTGAAATTACTCATTCTTTACACCGCTGCATTTTCTGTAACAAACAGTAAATATTGATTTTCAAGTAATCTCAAAGATATTTGCAAATATTTGTCGCAATTTGTTTTGATATTTATATTCTTTACTCTATCTTTTACGTACTCGTGTGCGACTGTACTAATATGACTACAACGGTCGAAAGAGAACTGGAGAACTAAAAAAAAAGAAATTGTTTTTTTCGAAATTCATCATCTTATGCCTGGGATATATATGTAATAAGAGCGACGCACCTTG